TTTAATAACCAGATACATATTTACCAAAGATTTTGTGAAATTTTCAAAGGAAAATATTTAAAACTCGAAATTAAACCTCCATTTAACGCTAGATTTTGTTTATATATGTATAAAATAAGCAAAAAATTTCTAAAAATAACAACCAAACTTATAAACATATTTTTTAGGAAACAAATTGCAAAATTTCATAATTTACGCATCAAATTGGATTCGCATCAAACACGCTAATTGCCCACATCAATAGCCGAAGCCCGAGCAATGGTTTATATTGAAGTAATAACTCTAAACGCCAAAACATACAAGCATATATAATTACATATGTAAGTGTGTATGTAAAAATAACTCACACAACCGTACAACATTATATAATATATATACTGCTTTATATATCTACATTAGGAAACCACGCCTCCAGCCGTCTAATTCCAACAAGCCATCACGAATACAACTACTCAAAGTGCTACAATGTTTTTGCAGCGCAATAGCAAATACAACAGCAGTAACAAAAAAACACAAAAAACGGCAACAATAAAACGCAAACAAAAGCAACAACAAGCAAAGGAAGTAAATATTTAATATACAATATAACAGCGTTAAACTCATGTGTCTATGTGTTAGTGAGTTACTGCTCTGCATTGGTCAATGAAATGAGAACACAAATGTGAGCACACACACTCGGCTGTTTGTATGTATGTATGTGAGTATGTGCGCCAAAGTAAATAAGATCACCTGAGATGGCAATAAACTGTCAGCGTCAGTGGACAGAGTGAATAACCAAAGCAACAACACAGCCAACAAAGTAACTGTAAGTGCACAGCGTCTATACAGCTATACAGTTTTGTGTGTGCAAGAAAGAGATGGAAAGTGTGACGCTAAGAGCACAGTGACAGTTTCTATAAAGGCAGGCGTGCTCACTCACTCTTCAGTGAATGTAGATGTGTGTGCGTGTGTGTGGCGTTTGTGTGTTAAATAGGAAGACAGCGAACGATCAATATAGGGATTTGTGTAGTGCAGGGTTGTATGAGGGAAAATGGTGTGGCGGGTTGAGGCAGAGCAGCTGAGTGGCAAATTGATCGACAGCTTAACAACGGTGATCGCGTTGTTGGAGTGCTTGAATGTGTGAATTTTTTTATATTTATACGCTTCTCTTTATATTTTGAGCCCCAAAATAATATTTTCATACTTGAGTGGTTTAATTTACTGCTATTTATATATTACATTTGATTTTTAAAAATATTTTGAAAAAGCCGACGGCTTTTTTATCAGCCAGTCTTAAGTAAACCGGGCACAAAAGTCTACAATTTTCAAGAGGCGAGTAACAGCAGTTGAGAAAAACCTTTCTTTTGAGTAACTAATGGCTCAATTACCCTAAAAATCCTAAAAGGCTAACTCTAGCAAAAACGTTCGAGCAACGTCGTTCTCAAATAACAGCACAATGTATACAACAACAATAAATAATTAAAATTACAAGTTTTAAGCGCCAAAACCGCAATGTACAACAACTAAGCTCACATAGCAAATTATACTATCCCGCTTTTGCCTGGAGCGTTACACTAATGTTCTGCTATTATTTTGAGCTATGTAATGCTTCCCGCTTTTTGTGCTGGCAGTCAGTTACACGCTCAATGACAGGCACAATGTAAGTGTGTGACAAAACAAACGATAAATAAGCGCACATCAGCGTCGTCATCGTCAAACATTTCATTTGCTGCTCCTCCTCTCCACCAACAACTGACGACGTCGTTACGCTTATAAAGTGTACTTCTTTTTTGCTTATCGCTTATTGTTGTTGTTTTAGCTGTCGCGCTACGCTTGTAATAACGGTGCTCTGATTGTGTTAATCGAGCCAATCAAATGCTACAGTGTATCATTGTCGTTGGCGATCGTCGTTACACTGATCGCTGAACGATGTCGCTTACAAATGGTGGTTGTTTTTGTGGAGAACCTATGCTTTGTTGTTGCATTTTAACTGTTACTCACTCTCTCAACAGCAGTTACATTTTGGTTGAGAATTAAAACCGCATATAAAACAATAAAAACAAGTTATGAGCGCACTTATGGCAGCGAGAGTGTCCAAGAGCGCGCAAGCGGCAGCGCTCAGTCGCAGCTGTTCGGATTTTTGACTGAGCTGCGTCGACGCTGGCGGCTGCTGCGACATTAATTATAGACTGGCAGCGAATGCTGCTGTTAGAGAAGTTATGGGTATGTTGAGTGCGTTTGCAGTACAGCTAACAGCGAGTCAACAGTTTCGCTGCTCCTATTGCACTGTTGAAGTTTTATCGCATGTAAAGCAATACTACTGTTGCCCTTTAAGGAGAAAATTTTAATATTTTGCTATATTTTTTTATATATGCATATTATTATTGCATTCTGCAAAAATTTCCAATCAATCTAAACTGGATTGATGGCAAATATATTTACAAAACTATTTCGCTAGCTATAAAATTAAACGCTTTCATAAATTTCAGGTTTATTACACTATTAAAAATTTTAATAACAACATACACATAAAAATTAATAAGCAAAATTTTATTTCAAGCGGTGAAACTGTCAATAAATTGCACTGTCTGCACCTAGCAGTTAAGATTGCCTTAATATATTTCCGCCAAACATCGCCATTGTCATGCAGAAAATATAATTTTATAATTTTATAGAAACTGCATCTCCCTGATAGTTTATGTTTACTAATAGGCGTCAAACGTTGACACTTTGCATGCTCAATTGCACACATTCACTTTTATAGACAAGTTAAAGTTATTGTTTAAGCGCAAAAACAGTTATTATTCATATGAGAAATTTATGTTGCATATAATATATTCATAAGCATAAAAATGTGGCATGAACCTTCAAAAATTTATCGTTAAGCGGCTGTAAAAATTTTGCATATTCATAATGTCAACGTACATACCATAAATACTATAAGTCTGTGTATATATGTAAGTATATCGTATACTTAAATATAACTAGGCATTTTTATGTTTATTTGACACATATTTCTGCAAACAATAGTCTCAATAATTATTAATTTCTATTTGAATACCTCATTAGAAGAATAGCATTTGTGGAAATGGAAGAACAAAATGAATATGTAAATGTACAAAAATACTAAATGTGTATAAAAGGAAATTTTTTACGGGCTAAAAATGCTTCTTTTGATGAGTCAAAACTCAAACACTTTTATTTGCCGCGTGAAGTAATAAATTCTTCTTTTAAGGCCAAATAATATGCAGTTTAGTTCCCGGCGACATATGCATATACATACATACATACATATATAAATATTTTACATATTTTTAAATAAATCAGCTCAGCTTTAAATATAAAAGGCAATTAAACATGCAAAACATAAATTAATCATTTATTCAAGATTTTAATATTAATTAAAATATTAATACTAAAAAACCAAAGAGGTATAAATATATTAACATAAATTGGAAATATAAAGAACATTATAAAAGTTTTATTAAAATATCTAAAAATAATAATAAATATTTTTGTTGTATGACTTTATAGAAATAAAGCGTAGCTTATTAAAAAATAAAAAGACAACTAAACAAACAAAAATCAAATATTTAAATTATAAAATACAAAAATATCAAAAAATATAAATATAAAAACATTTTTATATAGTTTTTTTTTTTTTTGGTATAAATCAAAAATAAAATAAAATAATAAACAAACGGAATCTTCACTTGATTGTCTTACACAATAAATATAGTAATTTTTCTTCCAAATTTCTTTCAAATTAAAACTTTTAATTAATTATATTTCTTCCGCACCACAATCTCTCGCCCGGCTAAATAGCATTGAAGACTTTAGCAGCGAACTTGCTATTCATATGCTGCTTAATGTTAAACAATGAGAACACGATTGGATCATTTGCGGAATATGAGTCTACTAAACCAACAGCGCTGCCAGCGATAATTTAACATAATATTATATGTTTTAACAACAACTGGGAACTAGTCGATGTAACTGGTGCATTTATAGGCAATGTTAAATATAGTAAATGCAATGTGTTAACAGTTGACATGCTTAACAGTACTTGAGATATGTAATCTGTGAGACATTAACACGTTTAACAGTGAACAGTTCGGTCATTTAAAAATTACAGCAAGTGGCATATGTAATTAATGATGAAAATACTTTAAAAAGTATATACCAACAGCTCTACAGCTAGTACGAATGTTAAAGATTTTTCTTTTGGTAGACTATGCACTGAATTTAATATATAAAAATTTTTAAGAGAGGAACATTAAGAGAGCAAAAATTAATTTTTTTATTTAAAAAACTTAACTTAATTTATAATAAAGTACTAATAATAAAAATAAATAATAATTTATTTCCTACTATTGAATCTTTGAAGATACTTTTTTAGTTTTACAAACTTATAATTTTAAAAGTTTCGTATAGGGTTTTAGTAATAATAATTTACCATTCGATTATTATTTTATTTTGAATGTACATATTTTACAAAATTATTAATAGTTATAAAATTCAATGAATTTAACATGCTGTTATAATAGCACTCGGTCTATTTACAACTCTTGCTGTTATAACATTAAATATTTAATCATCTGAATATCTCCTGCTGTTAACATTAACAGCTAACAATCAGCTGCGCTGTCGCTGTTACTACGACACTTAGCAGCTGTAACAATAGCATCGCTGTTAGTTTGCCAAATCCCTGTTAGCTCGCTGCTCATCTGCCTGAGATCACAACATCGGCGCTGCTGACGCATCTGTGTATGCTGCTGTCAAAGAGATGCTGCTGCCGCAACTGCGCAGAGTCGCAGCGCTGCGCTGACGCTTACATTACCTATACTCGGCTGTTGGCTTTGTGTGCGTGAACTGGCTTGCCTGCCAACTAGCCCGATACCTGCACATGCTATTGCACATACAGAGCTAGCAATAGGAAATATTTATATCTGTTTATGTGTGTGCATGGTCAGCGAGCGCATATGCGCATGCTGCTGCCGATTGCTTTGCAGAATGGCTTTGCAATATTCGCCTTTAGTGGTACTTCGCGCTTCTTTCTTGCTGGTTCGTTCGTTTGATCAGCTAAACGACAACACGACGCGGCAAACACGACCACGTAAACAGCACGTCCCAGCGACGGCGGCACACATAGATAGACAGAACGAAAAACCAAACAATAATCAGCCGGCTAACGAAACGACGACGGCAATTGCAAACGCGGTGCAACAGTAGTAAATACTCCAAAATGTGGTTAGTTGATGTGGCGTGTTTTTTAATTTGACGACGGTGAATTTTTATAAACAATAAAGCTGTTTACGAGCGCCTGACTGCGCATACGCATGTTTTTATGTACGTATTGTTGGACGTGTGTTCTGACGGCTGATGCTAGGGTTAGCCCTGCGCTGCAGAAGCAGCAATCCAGCTTAAGAGCACTGTGTGTTTTGGTGACTGTGAAGTTGGTTCTTTGTGTACCTTAAGTAGCCGGCTAATGGGTGCATTGTGCGGTTGCAAATTAAAACAGTTTTCAAAAATTATATATAAACATTTTTTAAACAAAAAATTTTTTTTCTACAAATAACTACATCGAATAATTTAAAGATATTAACTAATGTGTATGGCGAGTGTTCAAAAATAGTTTTGAAATAAATTATGATTTAAAAAAAAAATTTATTATTTAAAAAAAAAAAACAAAAAAGTATAAACACTGTATAATCATAGAAAATTAAAAAAAAGTACATACATACATATTAAATTCATGGATTTTAATATATGAAAAAATAAAATGGAGAATATATGTATGTATATATGGAACCAACTGGACAAAAAAAACATATTACAACAACAAAAAATATGTTTGCTTCGAATCAAATTTAAAACAATGTTGACAAAAAAATTAACAAAAATTATAAACAATTATAATTAACAAATTAAAACATAAACATTTGTGATCAGATATATGTGATCTTAACTGGACTGAGTGGTAAAAAAAAATGCTAAAACAAAAAAAAATAAATTCTGCATCCAATTATAATTTAAAAAGATACTTATTGACAGAAATTTTAACAAAAAGTAAAAAAATATAAAAATTTTGTTTTGCAATTTTTATATAATTTCTTCAATTTTTTTTTAATATTATAATTACAATATATATAACTTTATAGAGCCAGAAATAAAAAAAGAAATTATTTAATTAAAAACATAAGCTAAATTTTTTTCTGAAAAATTTCTATTATTTTATCTACAAATATTCAAAATTTTAATAAAAACACAAATATTAGTATAATGATCCACTTTTTTCACCAACTTTCCGTGTCACTCTACTTTCCTTAACGCACTGTTGCAAGCTAGTAATGTTTACGCGCACACCTAGCACTTACAAAACAACAACAAACAATCAGCAAAACTTACATAAACTTATATGTACATATGTACATATATGTATGTAGCTACATAAGCAAATGCGCCAGCAAACAAACTAACCTATGCACTTGTCATCGCACCAGAAAGACCAACCGACTTGTCATAGTCTACTGGCTTTTTCGACGCCTTGACGCTTGCCTATCGCTGCTGCACTATTGACTTGGCGCTTTCGCATTTCATTTTTCATACCCCTCTACCCGCCTCTGATTGTCAACACCTCAAGCTGGCGATCAAATAAAGGTGTGCTCTTCTAATACCAATAATTTTTAGATCAACAGTGTGTAGTGAAACACTGCTGGCGAAGTGCAATAAAAGCAAATATAAAATTTAAAGCAATGCATAGTGAAATGCAACAAGATCAACAGCACTAAATCGGAGCAAATAGGCGCAGACGTTTGCAAAATAAAGCGTAAAAGTGCAATTTACTAAAATAAACAAATTTGTGTAAAGTTATGCGCAGGCGCTGCTTAAGTGCCGTTTTTTACGCACATCTTTATTTTTATTTTTTTATTTTTAGCCTTAAAAACTGCAAACAATAACAAAATTGTAGGGCATATGAAGATCATTTGTCAACTATTTGCTTGCCAAAGTGTTCCTGGAAGTTACTAAAAAAGAAATTGCAATAAAAAATATAAAGAAAAAAAAAACGTCGGACGAAAATTAAGCAATAAATCATAAAGACTTCTGCTAAAACTACGTAATATAACAACGCAACAAAAACAGTAATACAACAAAGAGCTAAGCATGCCTAATTGCGGTGGAAAGGTCATATGCGCAGACGCAACTACTGCGCAAGCGTAGAGGCTGAACAACAACAACTACATGCGTGCGTTTAGTGGCTAATATTTTGTTTTGGTTGACAATGCGTGGCGTAAAGGTAAATGCAATAAGAAGGCACAAGAGAGAGGACACATGCTTGATGTTTTTAGTATTGCACAAAATATTGTAAAATATGGTGCTGACTTTTGGAAACAAGTTTAAAAAACATTAAAATAATATGCTATATAGATATAATTTAAAATAGATATTTTACAGAGATAAAAAATATAAACAAAACAATTTAAAAATACACAAAGAAACATATCTTTAAAAAGTATAAGAAATATAAACAAAACTAATAAAAAATTTGCAAAAAAACATATTTTTAAAAAGTATAAAAAAAAAATATTTATATACAAAATAGTGTCATAATTTACTGAGTGCGAAAATTACTTCAAAAATATTATTACAACAACAGCAAAAGCCGTAACGTCAACCAAAAATTGGCAGCGTTACATATTCGGATAACTTTTCGGGTAGCTTAACTTAATTTCCTCCTGCATTCAATATAAGGTATGTACTGCTATAATATCATCCAAGAAAATAACTAACTAATAAGAGTGGTAAGTATTGATTGGTTGAAGAGAGAGGTGGACGCCTGAACGACTGACCGCAAGCGTTTAATAGACCCCTTGAGCTACTCTTTGATCAAAATTACTCCCAAATATTTGTCATACTATCAATATTGTAATAACTGCATATGTATTAGCATTCTTCTTAAGATCTGCTAATTTGTCGGATCCGTCGTTATGGAACTATTATAGCTTATAGTTGCAATTCAAGCTGAAAGATGGAAATCAAGTTCTTGTATGAAAAATTTTCTTTTTGTGGAGGATTAGAAGAATTATAGCTCCGTTGTAGTCAGTATTAAACTTTTTTTTTTTGTTTCTTTATAAAAATGAAAATTGAAATTGAAATTTTTGAATATTATTGCTCCAAACCTATCAATTATATAATTTGCTTACACTTCAGCTAAATATGCAGGAGAACTTCTGGAGATAAGCTAAGAGATTTTAAATTTAAATAGTATACTGTCCAGGACCAACCGATGCTAGGAAATACGAGAACAGTTTGTCTAAACCTATAAAATATATCTAAGTCAATATTTGAACCCATGATTTGCCCAGTTGTAATTGCTTTTAATATCTTTCATAAATATATTATTAATAAGCATTGATTCTCCAGTTACTTCGAACTAATAAATTAACATAAGCTCGAACAAATAAAAGACTTAAACAACGAACCAGCTGAATAATTGTAGGCTTTTCCCCGAGCTCACAGTACTTGCAATATTTTTCGGGTCGCTGGTAAATAACGGTACTTTTGGCATAATAGTTTATACCCATTTATATATTTTCAGCTTCTACAATATGTAATGGATTTTTTGCATCTAATCTCAAAACAACAACTTCTTACTAAGATCGTCTGCAATCGTAGCTCTACATCAGTGATGTAATAATATGCAGAAATCTAGCTTATATGTAGCTTTGATGTTATACTAAATGGCATTCGTAATAAAAACTGCATGATTAAGATATGTTTAGTTATTTTCTGAACTATATTTGAGGATCTTCTACATAATTGTTTGATATTTTTTTCTTTCTTAGTTAGTTTTAGTTGAAATTTTTTTAATTTCCATAATAATTTAGTATTGCCTACATGCAGGCGCATTGCTATAAGTCATATTGGTCTAGCAGGTAAGGTCTATGTAAGGCTTTGTTATTTCAATTCCAATTGCACACAATTTGCATGCATATAGAAAAAGACTCCAAATTCGTTAGTATTCAGTACTCAGACGGCGATTAAAGTTGTAAGGAGGGAGGAATTTAGAAAAATGTGAAAGAGTTTATTCTATGTATTCACACTTCTTCTATTACATTCACCTTCATATAAACAAAACCCAGCTTAATTGTAATATACTGCTCGAAGCATCACTATATGCATAGTCTTAGTTTAACTCTTTGCATGTTTATCTTATATAGTATAATTTTTATATACAAATTGCCGGCAGCCATCTTTGCTGTCTCATAAATGCAAATGCACGTGTGCATGAAATGCACTCATATGGGTAGGCCATATGTCATTCAAACGCAATATGAAATGAATTTGCTGTTGACTTGAGAAATATCGCTCAGCGAAATTAAGTGCAAACATGCATATGTTTTATATATGCACATATTTAACTGCTTGTATAACAAGTGCAGCTTAAAATTATAAAACATTTTCATTGCATGCAAGTAAACAGTTTAAAAGTTCAGCGAAATACGTAGCGATATTAGCCATTACGAAATGAATTATAGTTGAAAGCAAAAATACTCTTCTTACGTGCAAAACAGCCCAGCTAAGAGTGCGACTTGACGAATAAATATGGCAGTTTTATTATAGAATCGGCGTAGCCTGAAAACTCGTAGTCTAAATGATGATTTTAATAGTGCAACGCAAACATATTAAATAAATAGTGTACGTGTGTATATATTTATGTATGTGTGTATGCATGTATATATTTTCGTGGATATGTATATAAGTAGTCATGTATGTGTTTGCGTGCATATATTTTTAGAAAATTTACGATATATAACTATTTTTACTCTTAACGCTGACTTGATTTCTTAGAGACTGTATCTGAGCGTAATTTGTTTGCTTAATGTATGCTTACATCAGGTATAATATATGTATGTTAAAAAAAATATTTTGAAAAAAATCTGATTTTTGACAAAAAAGGGATCGAAACCATTGTTTTTATAAATAAATACGATTTATTTATATATACATATATGTATATATATATTTTATGCTGAGCCAAAAAATTAACTTTACTGGATTAAGAGCAACCAACGTTCCACATATAAGTAAGACTCTGTATTAATTAAAACTACCCTAACTTCTGAACTGTTTAGGATAATTTTTTTTTATATTGCAGTTTCTTGTTTAACATAAAACTTCCTAAAAAATTTTCCTCAGTTGAATTTAAAAGCTTTGAAATGTGAAAAATACTTTAGTGAATTCCATAGAATAGTTGTCTATATGTATTTTTATTTATGATATATTTGCTAATACATGTGCAATATAGAGAGTGTATTAGAAAAAATTATTTGCCTTTGTCACATTTCCTTATTAATAGTGACGAAGAAAAATATGTTTCGAGATCAAAACAAATATTGATAGAATAAATGCCATTTTCAACAACAACGCCTTCCCTTGTAGGAAAATAGGCGATAACTAAACTAAGTATATAACTATCAAATTACATTAAGACGTAACGGTATATATTTAAACCTATACTCGTAAAGCCAATCAGCTTTGTAATCGCTAAATTATTGAGATTTTTGGAAAATTTTTTAAAAATACATTTGAAAACTCGGTATTATTTTGTGGAGCGAATCCAACTTTTTATTTTTCTAATCACCAGTTTGTTAAAAAATAAGTGTGATTTGCCTAATTCCTCTAATTATGGTAAAACCCAAGTGATTAGTTGTCACCAGTACGGAAAATTTTAAATACGCTTATATTTGTGTAAAAAAACTTTTCGACGAATTCGCTAAACACAGTTCTGTTGTTATTCAACTAAGCTTGAAAACTTGGAATTAATTTTTTTCTTGTATATAGGTTCTTATAAGAACCGCTTGATGCTATGTCGACATAAAGCAATAGTTGATGGGGCTTCTGCATTAAAATAACCAACAATAACAGACTAATAACAATTTCTGACCCCTTTTTCTAAGCCAGAATTAATAAAAATATGAAACAGTTAATAATTAAGTGTTTCGAAAATTTCTTTAAACTCAAAGCAATTGGTTTCGGTATTCATTAAATAACAGTTTTCATTTCGCCAAAGAGTTAGAGAGTAGCGAATCGAACATACCTTACCTCAAACAAATTGGCAGCACTTTCGATGCAATCCTGCGCTAATATGTTTGATTTGGAGTAGTTCCATGCCTTAACCATTAGTTATACATTTGTGGCAGTAATAAGTCATTTAAGTCATACGCAATGCTAAAATTGGCCTAAAATAAGTAAAACAAAACCTCTTAGCGTTAAAGAAAGCGTTTTCGAGGTTTTCATGAAATATTTGTCGACTTTTTTGTTCCGAGTTCAGCAACTTGTTATTGATGGGCGGAGTCGATTTAGCCCTGTGCTGATCTGAAATTTTGCACATGTCCTTTTCTCTCCAAGAAGGGTAAATCGACCCAGCTCATCACGCTGATCATTTATAAATATATGTATATACTTTAAAGGGTATCCGCTGTTTGCTTCTGGGTGTTACAAACTTCATGAAAAACTTCATATAGCCTGTTTAGGGTATAAAATTTCAGATGTTATATACAAATATATATTAATGTAACTTCTGACTCAACTCTTCCCAGAATTTTCAATTGAGGGTTAGTTATCGTGACTGTAAACTTCTCTTCTGTAAAATAAAAGCGAAGCTAATCGTTTTAGCCACTAAAAGAAATTGCTTGGAAAAAATTTAGAAAAATTGTAAAAACGTTTTCTTAAACTAAATATGATTCGAAATAAATTATCATGATTTCCAAATTTCCTACGACAACACATTTTTCGTTTGCTCTCCCCTCTTTTTCCTCACTAGCTACATATTATTTGCTCAATTTTTCCATATCAACTTTGCATTGCATTATTTTTCACAATACTACTTAATTTTTTCGCGCTTTTTTCGTTGCCTCTTAACCAGCATCATTCATCGGCAAATTAACAAGTCAAGGTCGTTTTGGCTCGCAAACTTTGCGGCTGCGATCGCAATGTGTAGTGTGTAGTATGTAGCTTGCAACAATATTTTTTAGCTACGATTTGCGAGTCTACATTAAATGCTATGCAAATTATACTAGAAGCAAGCGAGAATGCGCACAAGCAATCAAACGAATGCTAGCATTTGTTAATATGTATGCATATATGTATATGTATGAGTGCACGAGTAGAACACTTGCGGATGCATTTAAATGTAAACAAGAATGAGCACACATATGAGAGAACAATCGCAGTTGCATAAGTGCTTTAAAGCAGTTATATATATATATATATATATATGTGTGTGTATGTGTGTGTGCGCGTTTATCAGCGCAGCTATCTACATATGTAAAGCCATATCTGTTCGGCTATATTGTTGGTGCTTTTTGTGATTTAATTTTTTTGTAACGCATGCAGTTGAGAAGATGCCACCTCAGCCATTGTGTGGCATATGATTGCGAGCCGTTGACGCTGGCAGCCTTGACGCGTTTTTTTGTGTGTGTGTGGTAGCGCTGAAAAAATCTAGCAAAATGTGAAAAAATTTAAAGCAAAACAACTCATTACTACTGTACAGCAGCAACGTGCCGCAAAAAAAGTGTGAAAGCTATTTTTTACCATGCAATTTTTTCAGTGTTCTTCTTCTTCGTTTTTGGGTGCTAAGTTAAACGCTCCACCAGCTGTTGCAAACACCTGTTTTTGTTTAACAAGTGGCAAGCGGATGGCGGATGGCTTTTGTTTGCCGTTGCACACGCCTAACATTCAAGCTATGCACTTATACACACATAATACTTATATATGCATACATAAGCGTGCACTTACGTGTGTGATGTGTATGTGTAGAAGGGATTTTTGCGCAAGCACTGCATTAAATAATAGAATAAGAAGCAATTCTACTCTTGCAACATCTTATTTTGGTGCTGCACTGCTTTAGTTAGAACTGTAATTTAGCAAGATTTCGAAAAAAAAACAACAACAAAAGACAGAAAAATATTGTAAAGCAAATATTTATTCTGCCGCACATGACCAAAACGAGTAAGACGGATTGACGCTTGTAAATGAAGAACAGTGGACTAAATGCCTTATACTAAATACTTCATACTTAATACTAAATACTAAATACTAAATACTAAATACTAAATACTAAATACTAAATACTAAATACTAAATACTAAATACTAAATACTAAATACTAAATACTAAATACTAAATACTAAATACTAAATACTAAATACTAAATACTAAAATATAAATACTAAATACTAAATACTGAATACTAAATCATACTTACTAAGTACAAAGTACTCATTACACTAAAAAATAATTACAGGTAATTAAGTTCGTAATCTACTAATTACTAATTATTGTTATCAATTACTTAGTAGGAAATACTAATTACCAAATTTAAAATATGTATTTTTATTTAAAAATTTCCCAAATTTCCCCACTGCGCAAACTACCTTATTTATTACAATCTCGAATGTGTTCAAAATTTGTGGTCCCTCTACAAATATGAGCACTTGCTGTGGGTGCAGCACATCGCTTTCGGCATATTAAATTGTTGTTCTGATTGTACTAAATATTTATTTGCCGTTTTTGGCCCAACTCTTTTGACAATTGTAGCTTCTTCGGTAAGTTTACAAGCATAGCATTTTTGTTATTGTAAACTTATGTTCAGTTTATTTTTGTTGCTGCTGCAATTGTATCTGCTAGTCTTCTATAATGCATAGTTAGCGATTTTTTTCACTATTTTATTGAATCAAGAGTAGATGGGTGCAGCCACTGCCAGTTTGTAGTTACCTGTATGAAGCACACGATAGTCACATTTGCTGAAGCTGGCCAGCAGCAGTGGCTGACAACAATAATGTACTTGTTGCTGTTTGTTGTAACGACTGCTGAGTTCTAAAGATGGGTTTATTTGAATACTTTTGTTGCTATATGGTTAAGTTGTCAGTGCTGTTAATCTACTTGGGGGTAGGCTATAAATAAAGCTACAGTGAAATAATTTGAATTACATTGCTTATATCATTATTGTTTTTTCTATTAAACTGCTATTACGGTAATCCATATATTACCTTTAACTTGTATGACCCTTTCTGGTATAAATAGGCGGAATTAGTTGCTTTGTATATCTAGTTTGTTGTTCTACAAGTAGTTAAGTCTGTGGCCACTTGTTAAATAAATATGCAATTTTCTGCTATTATTTGATGAGTTTGCAGAGCAACATTCACCAACGCGGATGCCTTGCAGCTTAATTGCTGTCAAGTATTTAAATGTAGACTCATAAATATAGATTATAATAGGAAGCTTGCAGAAATTGCTTGCAAAGCAGTAAAGTCGTTTGAAACATAAGTGTAAGCGAAATCAATTAGAATTGCTGTAAGTACATTTGCATTAATCATTATTAATTAACACTTTACGCTTCTGCTTTTTTGCATTTAAATATATTTAAGGTAACACTAGCTTAATAGGGATGAATTAATTTAATATCAGGTCTGTCATGTGTAAACTTGCAAAACCACCTCTTAAAGACAGAAAACTTGAAAAACTATATTATTGTACTTGTATAAATATGTAATATTGGAGCCTGCAGATTCTTGCTTTGTAGATATGCCCTTCAGAGCCACTCCTCTAATATTTCTTTATTGTCGGAAAATAATTAGTACTTGTTCGAACTTAAACGAATCCAATTCCAGTCCAAAAAGTAATTAGCTGCCACTTCATACTTGTCTTCTCAAGATTCTTGCCATCAGCGTTTATTCAGCTGGTTAATAAGGTAGCTGAATAATGCGCTGAATGCTATTGGTTATCAGTCGCTTAAGCTGAATAAAGGGCTGAAGAGTTCCAGTTTTAGGTTTTCTTAATGGGCTTAAAAGATTATCTAAGTTTAAAAATTCTTGACTTGTAGACCACATTCTTCGAAGATACAATCTACTTAATTGGCTTTTATTGTCGAAAAATAATTTTTCGGATTAAATTTCAGCTAGAAAAGCCGTTAAGCTTCAACTTTCATAATTTCTGACTTCAACACTTATTCAGCTTGAGAAAAAGTTTGCTGAATAACCCGCTGAATGCTATAAGTATGCTATTCAGCTACCCTTTTCTTGGCCTGAATAAACGCTTAAGTTAATAGCCGGAAGATATCCAGTTTTAGGTAGTTTTAATGATGCTTTAAAAGAATTTTCCGCTTATTTTTGGTAAAAGTTTAAATAGAATTTAGTTTCTGAAATTATATCTTAAGCCAAAGTCAGAATCACTGTTTAGAAAGAAAAATGCTTCATGTGGTATTTATTTATAAAACCTGAGTGCCAAGTGCAATCAGCCTTTTCATATTCAAAATAAATTTAAACCTATTTATGCTGATGTCTAACGTCACAATAGTAAAATTTTAAATAACTTAAACATTTTTAAATATTTTCAGATCTTTTCAGCAACAATAACAACAAAACACAATCTATCAAAATGATGAATCAGGATAATCCTTATGCGGTAAGTGTACACACCTTTTTTCATAATACTGTATTAAAAAGATTTTATGTACACACACACTTAATTTATTAAAAATCCGACTTGTCACACAAATTCCTAACAAAAGTAAAAAAAATTAAATGTAAATGAAACAGAAAGGTCAAAACAGCTTTCATTTTCACTGGAATTCACAATTTCAGGTTGAGTCAAATACAAACTAAAGCAGGTAAATAAAAATCAAAAAAAAAAATATATATATATATAATAATTGCAGTAGGTCACACGCCAAAAAGGCCAACCGGCAAGTAAGACAGGGGCAGGAGCGCGCAAAACGCAACTGTGCCTCGAAATATTGCGGTCAATCATGCGCATAACTATAATATCACTTAAAATGTGTCGCCATATAAATAAACGTACATAAATTCCCATACAAAAAAGCTGGTGTTAATGTGCATGTATGTAGAATGTGTGTAGTGGGCTAACGGTCAGCATTTTTGGTGGTCCCCATACTCAGGTGCTGGCTACCTCCCAGGCTGAACGACATTTATTTGTTAAACTTTTACGAGCGCACACAAATCGTTCGCGGTATTCGGCGCTGACAAATGATAAAAATTAAAAGCCCTCCCTGAATCAAAAAAAAAACCACAGCAACAACAAACAAGAAAAAACTTATTGAGCTAGTTCAAGCACACTTATAAGCTTGTATGGGTGTGTGCTTTTGGTTAACCAAAAGTGTTCATGCAAATATATATGTGTATATATATGTATATGTATATGTATAGAAGTGTGTATAAGAATCGGCAATAAAACTTTATATACTTGTACACTACAAACCACAACAACGACGCCAGAAGTCGTAAAACACAAAATTTATTATGAACACGCTGCGGTTTGAAAAAAAATTTCGGTCATAAAAATATTATTTCATATACTCGGCTAATGTGTGAGTGTGGGTATGTAGTCGCGTTTCGAGTGACTAAATGAGATTAAAATTTTAAATGAGATCACAAAACGCTGATAATAAATGTAATGTTGATATGATAAGTGTGCTTTTGAAAAAGGTAAGGCAATGGCACCGTGCATGCGCCCATTTGGGAGGGTTTTGTTACTCTGCTAAATCTGAGTAAAGTTAGAAAAACGTTTGCAAGCCGCTGTAAAGCGAGTTTTTGCGCATCTTCTCCTTTTCTATTTCTGCTGGTCTTTCTTAAAAATTTCTTTATATTAAAAATGCTTTTCGTCTTGTCACCACCTAACGATATTTCAGTTGGAATTAGAGTTCTTTAGTTAAATATTTTGATGATTTACTCTGAACAACATCGTAATACTATACTATCAAAAGCACTAATAAAGTACTTCACTGTGCTCGTTTTTGACTCAATAATTTTTTGAGGGCTGTTGAATACATACCATATCTGTGCATTTGTATTCGCTCGAACTTTACTAAAAGAACTAAGTCTTGTTCTTCTATCTGTCCGTCTGTATATACGCGAACAAGTCCCTCATTTTTTGAGATATCTATCTAAAATTTAGCACCCATTCTTTCCTTCACCAGAAGCTGCTCATTTGTCGGAAACTCAAGTCTTTGTATGGAAAACTTTTTAATTTGACAAGTTTTCTTCAGAAAATTACACAGATATACAGTTTATGCTATAAAAAGTGCACCTGTGAAGGTATTATAGCTTCGGAGCAACCGAAGTTAACATTTCTTGTTCTTTTTTTCATATAGAATTTACTGCCAAAAGTTCTAAGCTTCTTACGAGTCTAACTTGAAATACCAATAATCACATCATAAAAATTCCAGAACATGAAAACATGACCTGTTGCCTATCGCCATATTTCATGTTGTAAAGAACAAGGCTATACAGAAGCGAGTATAAGCTGCTGACAAGCGCAACATAAAACCAATAATGCTAGAAACTGGCAAAAACAAAAGCAAATATGCCAGCCAAATACTTCCTTATTACTCATACGTCAACGCTAAGCTGTCACTCAGCCAATGCTCAATGTGCAATAAACGACACTGTTTGGCCTACACCTCTTCGGCAGAGCGAGTGCTCGACTATTTGACTTTGATTTGATTACCACAGACAAAGCGCACATTTCAAACAATATATGAGTGCTACACGACGACGCAGGCGCATATGACATGCGCGCAGTGTTGTGCTCATTAAACGGCAATATTTACATATGAGTATAAATAAATTCACATAATAGTAGCGACGGCAGACGCGGCAGCAGCAGGGACAGAAAGTAGAACTCGTTCTTTATGACACTTCGGTTATTAGTGGCTGACTTGGCAGTGACTCTGTAGCCTCCGATGCCGCTGGCTTTGCCGCTTCTGCCGCTCTTGATGATGTGTGATGTCATGCCGCACGGGCTGCGCCGGCTACTGCTTCTTCTTATGCGATGATAGGAAATCAATAAGGAATCAATAACTCTTATAGTATAATCTACATAAGTGGAATTTAGCATTTAATAAGCGGTTGTATTTAAACAGTTTTGTAAAATCGTAATTAAGTTGAAGTGGTTTATTAATTATGAAATTTTATCTGTTTCTTGCTTTTGTCGTGTTTTAACTAGTGTGTGCTAAGCTGTGCTTTAGTCGTAATGCGCGTTAAGGTGTTAGATGTTAAGCAAAGCGTTTGGGTTGGGATTAGTGCGGCTAGTCGGTTATGACTGCCTGAAGGTCAGTGAGATGCTCACGGTGGATGATTTATAAGTAACTTTTATTAAATACGAAACAGCTTAGTTGACTGAAAGTCAACAAATGAGTGGCAGTGATGATCAGTTATTTTAATACTTAATTACCTATACTAGAGTGAAAAAATGTTGGCACAAAGCGATGCGTAGTACAAGGTGGTTGTGAGTGTCGCATGCGATTAGCGTATTGTAAATTTCGAGTTTTCAAATCACGAGCGGGCTATGAAGTTCTAATAGTTTTAAGAAATGTATTGTTTTTAAAAATCGATTTCCTTGTTCCATATAGTTGTAGTTGTTGGCAGGTTATCGATTATAGCGGTCTACCAACTATACAAAAAACATTTTTGTAGTATTATACGTTTTCTTGCTTAAAAATAGTTTTCTCAATTACTTCTATGACTATACATTTCGTCAGCAAACATTGTCTTTAGATCTGAGGACACACAAATGTGGCTAGAGGAGATTGCATGCAAACCCTTTTAGCTAACAGAGATCTGTCTGTGCCCCTCTGAGGTCAAATAATGTATGATGTTTGCATTGTAAGAGACAACCAACACTCAAATTGAAGGTGTTAACTACTCAGGACTGCATGGAGTTCTGCGGAAGGATATGAATCAGGATCCCTTTCGTTTACATAGTTCCGGCTGTTGCGGATTATACGGCTACTGTTAGCTTCTCTGGTAGTCTGAAGTTCAAGCTAAAATTAATTTCTGAACCTAAGTAGCATATTAAAGCTTCGGTTTTGTTCTCAATATTTAAATCGAAGATTCAAAGTCTTCTCAGCTATCTACATTGATAATATTCTCCCATTTGCGGCCATCTAGTTTGACTCTTTTCTTGTTTAATACATCATTAGCTAATTTGTATGCATTAATTGGAAATTAAAACAGTTAGACAATGTTAGAAAATTATCACCAAAATCGCTTTGAAGGCAAACGGTCGGCCGTTAAGTCTGACGCAGATGACGCACAAATCGTACAAATGGTCACACAAAGTGCCCCTAAACGCCAAGACAAAAGCGTAAAGTGCCACGAAAGTGCAAAATTACATATGCAAATACAAATCTAGAGCAGTTGACAAGCTAAGCAGATTTGTATTAAATTAAATAATAGCAAACTAGAGCATTAGCATTAAAATGAGTTTAATGTGGTGTTAGACTATGCTTGGTTAGTTTTTGGAGTGAAAAATTTGGCTTGAACAAGTGGAAATTTTGCTGGTAGTGTGAACAAATTTTTCAAGGCGAGTTTAACTTTTTAGAATATAGTAGCTTCGAATCTAAAATAAATGTGGTTAACTCTTCAATTTAAAATTATTGGCATCTTTAAGCGGCATCGACAAATTTTTACAGATAAAATTTCAAGTTTTGAAGCTTTGAACACCTTTTATAATAACAAAATTTATGTGTTGATTGCAGAACTTTATTAAGGCGGGTTTAAGCTATTAAATCCAAAAAATGTGATATGATATTAGATAGTTTCACAGTATGGTTATTACTAACACAAAATATGCTTAGTTTTAGCACTTTGCCTTATGATATGTGCGAGTTTCGCCATTTAGACTTTGCTGACTCCAAAACTGCGTAGAGCTATAACTATACTGTAGTAAGTGAAATTTTCGGACGAGTTTAAGTATTTAGTAATCTCATAAGATTTCTTCTTTAAAAATTATTAAAAGTTCTTGACAGCTTTAAATATAATATTAAAAATTTTATTTAATGGTTGTAGTTTAGCGATTAAATCAGCTTTAGACTAAAAGACCGAAAGAAATTGAATTTTCCAAAAATTTTGGTCAATTTATTTGATTCTTTTATAAACAAAATGAAATTTCTATTTATTTATTTTATTCTGAAAGAGGCTCTCCTATATAAAATATTACAAGCAAAAAAAACTCAAAAAAATTAAATTAAATAAAAATTTAAATAAACAAAAAAAAATTATACAACAGATTTTTTCTCAAAACAAACCAAAATGTTTAAACACAACAACTCAACAACTTTTTTATAGCCGCTTACGCCAACTGCTAACAGCATACTAAATGTCAATATTTGAATATAAATTTCGTTAAATCGTGTATTTTATGCATCGAAGCTGAATTTGTAGTGTAGTCGGGCACATTAAATTTGATACACAATTTCTTGTGATATTTGGGAATTTTCGCTTTATGACACACGTATCGGCTTACCAAATAAGCACCTATTCTCTCATAAATATACATGTATGCACGTGTTTAATTTGCCGCTTGCGCTTGTGATACATAGCAGTGTAAGTTAATTAGATGATTATATTGTTGATTTAAAAAGATTGCATAAATTCTATGACATT